CGAACTCCATACAGGATAGACGCCAAAAGAAAGTCACCAAGACATATCATAACAAACTTGCCAAAACCAAAGACAAAGAAAGAATCCGGAGAGCAGCTGGGGGGAAAAACGAAAAGTCACCTACCAAGGGGAACCAATAAGACTAAGCTCTGATTACTCGGCAGAAACCATGCAGGCAAGAAGGCAATGGGATGACATACATAAAACATTGAAGGAAAAAAATTGCCAATCAAGAATTATATATCCAGCAAAATTTTCTCTCAAATATGATGGCAAAATTAAGACATTTCCATATAAACAGAAATTAAGGGAATTTTAAAAACCAGACCAAACTTACAAGAAATATTAAAGGGAGTCCTTCAGATAGAAAACCAACAACATCAGACAACAACCTGAGATTAGGACACAGGAAAATATGACAAGTCTAATCTAGATTTAATTCCTTAGCATTTTCCTGACTCTAATGAGCATCTTTTGTGAGAATATAACAGAGCTTCAAACTGGTTCAAACCAGTTAGGTCATGCCAATGAAGCAAAACCAGAACAGACCCAAATTTTTACAATTTGGGTGATCCGGAATGATAACCAGAACAGGAAAAATTTCAAGCTGAAACCGTGGAACGGAAGACTTGGAAGAGGCATAGTGAGACTTTTTTAGGAACCCGATGTGTGAAATTGGATTATCAGCAGGACTGTAGAGAGCAACACACATTCAAAGCAGCTGGTCGGCCAGCCACCATCTTTGATTGGGGCACCCCTGTTTCCGACTCTGTTCAACTCGGACATGCAAGAAGTTTGGTTGCTATGCAACGTGTATGCTGCCCTTGTTTTCTAAGAGGGAGATTAAGTTTCTAGTAGGGGTTTGATCTGTAATTTTTCCCATTCCAGTTAATGTTCTGGTTCATTCAAATTTTAAAAATTTGGGTCTGTTCCAGTTTTTCTTCCCTGGCCATGACTGGACCAGGAAGAACAAATTCGAAGCCCTGGAATATAACACATTAAATTTTAATTACAGCAAGTTTTTCCAAACACTTGAACTGTGATAATATAACTCTTAACAACTTGATTAGGAAATATGTCCTGCTGCTGTGAAAATACATGAGCTTAAACTGATAGTGTAGGTTGTTACTGGCTTGTGACAGCCTCATATGCCTCCCTTTCAAAATATATTCAGTAGCTTCAGGTTAGTGGCCTGAATTCCACCATGATGGGAGTATTTACACCACAAAGTTGGCAAATGCTACACCACCGGGCTCCCCCCTCCTTGGAAAAAAATGTACAAATTTAGCCCTATTACTACTGCTAATAGGGGAAGGTACATGGAGTCTCTTCATTAAGACAATCTAAAAGCATATCTTGTTTAGCAAAAACAACACCTCAAGAAGGTCATAAGGGAAAAGCCCTGGTCCCAAAATAACTATCTCATGACCTGGGCTCAGAAGTCCTTAATAAACTCAGCTTTTTCTCTTCTTCGCAGTACTGTGGGGGGCTACACCACTGAACTGGTAGTTTCAAAAATGGTAGGAGACCCTATCCCAGCCTTGGTATTTTATATCATGTGTTTATTATTCATAGGTGGCTATTTTAAAACTGATTTGAACTGCCCTCGATAAAAGTAAAACACTACAGTAAAACCATAAAAACTATTAAAAGTGTTTAAAAGAACAGATTAAGAAATAGGTTAGAAGGGAGATAAATATAGCAGAAAACCTAAGCTAAAGAAAGCCACTGACATTGAAGACACCTATTTCTGAGATTTCTAGAAGGCAAAGAAAAAACGGGAAATAGGAAAGATACCTTTATATACCTGAGATCTGATCTTCAGAAAAAGTAAAATTTTCTCCCAACTCTGGTAGAAATTTTCCAAATGGGGCATTGTGTAGCATAATAAATGATGGTATAATCACCCAAACTGTAGATATACAGATGATTGTATTATTGTGTATATGCTGTAGTCTCAATAAACAAAATGAAGATCCTATTGTGTTTTTATTGTTTTGTTAATATTATTTTCTGTAACCAGGCTAGCTTTGTTGATGTGTGCTGTCCAACTGATTCAGACTCATAGCAACCCTATAGGACTGCCCCATAGGGTTTCTAAGGAGCACCTGGTAGATTTGAACTGCTGACCTTTTGGTTAGCAGCCTGAGCTCTTAACCACTTCACCACCAGGGCTCCAGGCTAGCTTTAGACTAGCCTTTATCATCCTAGTCAGCCTGGAGCCCCTTTGGAGTTATGCTCTAGAGTGGATTAAAGAGGAAGAGTTGGGAAGTAGAGAAAGACAAGTTGGGAGGAAGAAAAGGAAGGGAGGTCCCATGGAGATTCTTATAGGATTCTTTCAATGAGTCAGAAAGAATAAAGTGGAAATTTAAATACTCTCAATTCAATCCAGTCTCCTAGCTCTGCCCTTTCTCAATTTATAGTGGTCAGTACACAGACTAAGAATGAATATTTATTTGCAAGGATGAAAGGATCCCTAAAGGAGAAAGGTTTTCATCTGATCGCAAAGTAGAACCATTGATTCCTAGAGTTAGATGGGGCCTTAGACTTTTTTTTTTTTAATTGTACTTCAGGTGAAGGCTTACAGAACAAATAGTTTCTCATGAAACAGTAGTACACATATTGTTTTATGACATTGGTTAACAAGCCCACAACATGTCAACCCTCTAACTTCTCAACCTTCTTTTTTGGTGAAAACACACATAGCCAAAGATACACCATTTCAAAAATTTCTACATGCACAGTTCAGTGACATTGACTACGCTCTTCCAATTGTGCTGCTATTCTCACTTAAGATGAAGGCTTACAGAACAAAATAGTTTCTCATTTAACAGTTACTACACATGTTGCCCTATGACAATGGTTAACAATCTCACAACACATCAACAATGTCCTTACTCAAGCTTGGGTTCCCTATCACCAGCTTCCTTGTCCCCTTCTGCCTTCTGGCCCTCGTCACTGGACTCCTGTACCTCATTAGTCCCATTTGGTTTTACAGGGCTGTCCACCCCCAGGCTGAACAGTGAACCTCGGAGATAACTTCACCACTGAGCTAAAAGGGTGTCTGGGGGCCATACTCTCGGGGTTTCTCCAGTCTCCTTTAGGCCAGTAAATCTGATCTTTTTTTTTGTGAGTTAGAATTATGTTCTACATCCTTCTCCAGCTCTGTCCAGAACCCTCTGTTGTGATCCTGGTCAGAGCAGTCAGTGGTGGTAGCCGGGCACCATTTAGCTGTACTGGACTCAGTCCGGTGAAGGCCTTGGTAGCTGTGGACCATTAGTCCTTCGGACTAATCTTTTCCTTGTATCCTGTTCTCTTCATTCTCCCTTGCTCCCGTGAGACTTTTTTTAACCTCCTGCCAGAGAAGGAGTCCTTTCCACAACGCAGTTAATGGGTTTGGAAATCCTGGTGGCATAGTGGTTAAGAGCTATGCCTGCTAATGAAAAAAAGTCGGCAGTTCGAATCCACCAGGCACTCCTTTAAAGCCCTATGAGGCAGTTCTACTCTGTCCTATAGGGTCACTATGAGTCGGAATCGACTCGACGGCAATGGGTACTAATGGGTGATTCAGGCCTGGAGGATTTCTATGAACAGAGATATCCAGCTTTACAAATTAGTCTACACCTTTTTTGGGATAGCTCTAAATGTCAGTAGCTGTGGTCTTATAACGATTCTGAATATATATTCCTACCAGTTATGCACAGTGGCTCTGCTTCTGCCCTCTGGATGACACCAATGTCATGTTTTGCACATGGCACCCCTTAAGGTATAACAAGATAATCCTTGTCCCCCAATCTTATCTTTTTTTTTTTTTTTTCCTCCAGGTTAAACATACCCTTTTCCACCAGTCATGTAATTATTTCCAAAGAAACTCTGGAATGAATAGCACAATGAATACCTGAGGTATAATATTTACATAGTTTAGGGACTGGTATTTGACAGTCCAATATTTTATTGATTGGTGGTAACCATGACTATTATATTTGTTAATACCTTTTAAGGAAGCCAGGATATTAAAAATATATGAAATTTTGGAACTATACTAAGCATAATTTAACTTTTCTTTGATATTTTGGCAGGTATGGTATCCCAGAGTGTATCGAGGTGTTCTTTCTGGCTATATTGTTTATTGTGGTATAACTATATGGAAGTACTAATGAAATTAATGGTCTAGCTAATAAAAAACAAGAAAAAAATTTTAGCAATAATTAAGGGGTTATTTGGTAGGTTTTTTTTTTTGATTTGCTTCTATTACACTAATCAAAAAACATTGACTCAAGTTCCATTTTTCCTTTTCTAACTTTAATCAACTTTGTTTTTTAACGTTAATCAATAAGATTTTTATCCAAAGCCTCGAATCCCATAGCACCAGCAAAGAAGGCAGAGTCATTTGCAATCAAGGAGGACAGAAAATCCTTGTTCTCATTTAATTGTCCCTTCTTGTCAAAATGCCTGTTATCAAGAAATTGTTTTAAATTATAGGAAGAAGGTAGAAAGCGTTGGGAAAAGAATGACACCAAACAGAAAGAAATCTAGTACACCATTTCCAGGATAAAATAAAGGCATTGATGAGTCAACTCACACATTTTCCTTTTTAGTTCAGATGATATGGCAATCACTAGGTGTTAACCTATTATATTTACTTTCTTTGTTTTATCTGGAACCAGAAATAGAGATGAACAAAGCCTTGATGTACTTTCGGGTTTTTAAAATATGTGGTTAGCTTATTTTTCCCTTTCAATTGTTCACACTTGCCTATTTCCTTAGCTCATCCTAAGAAACTAAATGGATTTTCCAGACATTTAAACAACTGCAATAAAAATGGCCCTGCCTCAGTAATGTCAGGCTAGCCTCTAAACCACAGAAAGATCCTTTGGCAACCGGGGTCCACTGTGGTGTTTTAAAAGAACCTCATTTAATCATGTCAGCAAACATCTCCCTTAGCAATGCAGACCAACCACTGTTGCCAGCTATAAAGCCTGAATAGCAATTCAACTGACCTTCAGAGGAGAAATGTGAGATTGTAAGACATATCCGTGGACATTTTCTATTTGAGAAAGGTTCTTTTCCGATACATGCACGAGTTCAGGCCCTCTTACTTCATGGGTTAGTCGAGGTAAGGAATGATCATGTGGAGCGTCCTCATCTTGATATCGATACTTCTAGGAAAAAAGAAAAGAAAGAAGAAAGAAAGAGAGAAAAAGCATCAGTTCTGAGATTCACATTCTAACTTCACTTACAGGACACAGTTTGAACCTATTGTTGATTTCATCAAACAGGCATTGCTGCAGACTTTTTTGAGATCACCATAAACCAGGTCAAGTATAAGCAAAACTGATCCCATCATCAATATCAACCAATGCTGGTGACTTGCTTCTGCCTGACAATGTACTATCGCTGTTTCAGCTATGGAAGGATGATAACAAATAAGACCAAGACAATTTAGCTAAATAAGTGAGGAAGTAATCTTCCAAATGACCAGAATAGCTAAATATGTGCTAAAAATTAGGGTAACATTCCAGGAAATGGATGAAGAAAAAAGCACTGAGCAAGAAAAGTGAATTCTGATAAAAAATCACTACCCATATATCCACCAGGCACTCCTTGGAAACTCTAAAGGGAAGTTCTACTCTGTCCTACAGCGTTGCTATGAGTTGGAATTGACTTGACAGCAATGGGTTACCCATATATCAGTTGTAAAACTTAATTTTGTGTTGAAATTTGTGAAAAGTTTAAGTTCCTTTGGAAATGAGGAAAAATTTTTGCACTTACATTATTTGTATTGGCCTCAAAAGGAAGACAATCTTTTCTTCCTTTACTTCACCCTCCCGAAGGAAGAGTATTGATTCAGATTAGTTGCATTCTGGGACAAAAGATGACAATTTCTAGGGATGGAGCTCTAAAAGAACTTAAAAAAGTCAAGATAAAAGAGTCTGTCTATATTCAGAGGAGAGGGAAGAGGTAATATTCCTCCTCTCTTTTCCTCTTTTCTTCAATATTTTTCTTTTATATGCCTGTAACATTAATAACATTCTCTGACAAAGGCCATCTTTTGAGTTTTCCAAATAAACTTAAAGAAGCTGGCAGAAAGAGAAAATGGTCAGGGCAAGGAATAGTGTGTGGCCAGCTTGGCCCTGGGCATGAGGGCAATCTCTGTCTTCAGCTTTCGCCTGGGTCTCTCTGCTTCTAATCATTAGATTCCCATTGTTTCAAGGCTTTTGGCCTACTTGGGAAGGAAAAACGGTAACATTCTATACCTCACCTTCAATACAGCTAATAAAGTGTTAGTTTTCCTTCCTTGGCCCTTGATCTCTGTGTATGGTACAAGGTATTAGGGATAGTGGTCCAAACACTATCATAACATCATTTTAGGCTTAACTGTGATACCTAGCTTCTTCCCTGTGCCTTAACATCATTATCACCAACAATTATTTTATCACATCAGGTTACTCAAAGCATGTCTTCTTACAAAACCATGTCTATGTTTTTCACTAAATTTTGAGATAAAAAATACAATTTCCTGGACATCAGCTCTTAAGTCTGACTCAAAAAGTACCACCCTAGAGTAGGTAATTCACTCTGTTGTCTGCTCTTACTCAGAAGCTGATTATCAGTGATTTTATTTTCAGGGAGGCTTTCTAAAATGTCCAAAGCGTAAATAAAACTTACAACAATTTGACATCATGATTTCAGTTTACAAAGCCCTTTCATATACCTCTTTCATTGTAATCAATTTTGTCTATGATACTCCATCTTACCTATGAGAAAACTAAAACTCAGAGAAGTTAGAGGACCTGTCTACGGTCACCCAACTAGTGGGCATCAGAGATTTGGATTCCAGATAATTTGAATCCAAATCCTTTTTGTATTAAATCATCAGTTCCCTACTATCCCCATAAGGAGATGAAGCCCAAGTCTGATAACTGAATCGGCGACTTGGTAAAAAAAAAAATTACTGAGAACACAGGGCAAAATGAGGCTAGGACATTTCTTCGAACTACAAATACCATACTTCTACCTTTCCAACCCTATGACTAATTTGGGAAGGTAATCTGCCTCAGAAACACAGATCAATTTTAACATTTATTCTTGAACAGTTATGTGGTCATTGGGAGTAGAATAATATCATACATATGCCATTTTAGTTTATTTGGCTTTCTGCCCATCTTCTCTCCACATCTGCTCCGCCTCTTCAGTTCTCACAGAGGTGCTTCCATCTACTTAGTTACCCGGGCCAGAAAAGTAGGAGTCAGTCAGACTCCATCCTCTCTTTGATATCCTTTAATTTCAATTTAATAAATTTTAATTTAATAAATCACTGAGTGTGTCTTATTCATATTCTAAATAATTCATGAGTCTATCCCTTCATTTTCATACTCCTTCCCCAGCCCCCCAGCTACTGTCAGGTTCAGGTTCTTATCAACTGTCAGCTGGGCCACAGCAGCAGTCTCTGGGCCTGTCGCCATCCTTCTTCAACAATGCACCAGGGAGCTTTCTAAAACACACAATGACGAAAACCTACCACTAGCTCCCCAGCGTTCAAGCCTCCTTACCCTACCATAAGCCAACCCCTAAAACCACCACATGAGCTGAATCCCCATTGCTCCTGAACTCTTTTTTTCCTCACCACTCTCACCTCTGAGGTTATATTCCAGAAACATAAACTGTTTTGTGCTTCCTCATGCATTGGTTTATCTCCTTGGGGCCTTTCCATGGGCTATCCCTTGTGCTTGGAATGCTTTTCCTCTCTAGTTCCCCATTTCATCTAATTCTTACTTGTCCCAGCATAGAGTGCATCTTCTTAAGAAAGCCTTGTCTTAAACCTGCTTACAAGCCTGACTTCAATTTGTCTCTCAGAGCTCGAATGTGCATAGCTTCATCATTGTACTCACACTGTATTGTAATTTCTATTTATGGACTGAGCTTCTTGAGGGCAGGGGCTGCGTCATCTTTATCTTGCAAGCCCTAGCATCCAGCACAGAGTGTGACACTCAGGAGATGCCTAGTAAGTAATTGTGGTATGAATATAAACAGTTTTTACTTTTTTAAATTAACATATATAAAGCTAGGCTCATGTCACTTACGACAGTCTTGGAATGATTATATTCTGAAACATAAAGACCTAAGGGCATCAGAAGGAATTTTTTTTTTTTTTTTTTTTTTTTTTTTTGTGAAGTGAGAAGGAATCTTCCTACAGTAGGACTGAGCTGGCTTTAAAGAAAAATTTCATCCCTAAAAATATAGATCTCATTGAATTATTTAGATAAATAACTATTAGGACACAAATAAGCTTAGTTGCACTGATGTAATGGCACAAATAACTTATTTCATATTAATTCTTTTCATAAAATTAAGACTCATTTTAAAGACTGATAAAACCTTAAATAAGACTGTAAAACTAATCTTGATGCTCAACTAATATTTCATTGATAAAAATTGCTCATTATTCATTTTAACTCTCACCTATCCTTCAGCTCTCAACAAGACATTACCTCTTTTAGGAAGCTTTCCTGAACTGCAAGTCTGAGTTTTTGTGGGTATTTCCATAGTTCCCTGTATTCCTCCTAAACCAAAAACTGCTGCCATCAAGTCAATTCTGACTCACAGTGACCCTATAGGACAGAGCAGAACTATTCCATAAGGTTTCAAAGGCTATAAATCTTTACAGAAGCAGACTGCCACAGCTTTCTCCTGCAGAGCAGCTGGTGGGTTCCAAACACTGACCTTCTGGTTAGCAGCTGAGTACTTTAACCACTGAACCACCAGGTCTCCTTTATACTCCCCCGGTCACAACTTATCATGCTACATCATAATTGGCTGTGTATTTGTTTGTTTGTTGTTGTTGTTCCATTGAACTGTAAGATTTGTGAGGACTAAGACCATGTTGGTCTTCTTCATCCTCAGATCTCTACCCCTTAGCCAAGTGCTATGCTCAATATGTATTTGTTGAATAAAGTTATGACTGACAAGTGAATAAATGCATGAAATGGAGATCAGTTGCTTAAGTCACAAAGCTATTTTGGCTACTGGATGCAATCTCTTGTATTGAAAAATATTATGAACATAGGTTAGAAGAACAACAACAAAAAAGGCAACCACATCATTGCTTGGCATAATCTTAAAGGACATCAGACTCTTAAGTATTATATTTCTCTCTCCTGGCCCATTCACTTCAATAATATATGCTCAGAATACAAACTCAATAAGAACAAGTTTGTGTCCTTTAGAAGACCATAAATTAACAAGTGAGTTAATGTGCACAGTTAAGTTACCATGCAATGTAAAAATGCCTGTAGGTATAAACTGAGTTCTGAAGGAGTAGAAATGGATCAGCACCAGCTCTGTCTGAGGCTCCCCAGTTTGAAACAGGATGTAGAATGATGTAGAAAGAGGTAAGGGATGTTCTAAGCAAAAGCGACAATGAGTTTAGAGGAGATAAGTGATAAGAGAGAATGAAGCTGTGAGGGAACCAAAAAACAAACAAACCCATTGCCGTGGAGTGGATTCTGACTCATAGCGACCCTATAGGACAGAGTAGAACTGCCCTATAGGTTTTCCAAGGAGTGGCTGGTGGATTCAAACTGCCAACATTTTGGTTAACAGCCAAGCTCTTAACTACGGTGCCACCAGGGCTCCTGTAAGGGAATAGTGAGATCTTTATGTGGGTTGTAGGAGATACTGTTGTTCCACCCACCTAAATCCTTGGAAATACCTTTAACCTGTTTAAGGCTCACATTTTCACTGTTGCCTTTGGGTGACTGAAGTCTCCTCACTTGGATGTGCCTGTGAGTTATACCAGCACCCTCCAACTCCAACACCACAAGGTGAGACAAATCTTATGGTGCAAATTACACTCCAAAGCACCCTCACGGGATCAGCTTTCATGAAGGGATAGACTGCGCCTAGACCTACATTCTTGCAGAGATCCTTGGTATGTCCCTCATTCTCTTAATGAGTTTCTCCTGGAAACTTTCCTCCATAAATCACACACATACCAGTCCCTATCTTAGGTCTGCCTCTAAGGAACCGTACATAAGATTTACATGTATCTTGGAAGGTGAGGTAAAGTGTGGCAGGAGGTGAGGCTGGAAGTCAGACTGCTGGCCTTTGTAAACAACAGGGAGCCATCCAAGGTCTATAAACAATATTCTGCCTGGTGATA